TAAAGAGTCGTGGTTGACCGGGCTGTCTCAATTGCTCTATAGTTCTCTAAAGTTGAGCAACCGTTCGGTGCTGGTGGAATTGACGTAAGTGACTTATTGGAATTTCTACTTAGTTGTAAGTTCAGCGGTCTGAGTTGCAACTAGTTAAGAACTGGTCTACGTCAAACGTGATAGGTAACACCCTGAAGTTTCGATACGCTTTCAGGCCTTTGAAAACGACGATCTTGTCGAAACGTCAGGCGAATAAACATTCCACCATTAAAAAACCTGTATGGCACAGAAGCATTGAATAATATTAATAAATGTATAATTATAGTATATAATAGATAAACTAGCTGAAAGTTTGATTTCAGTTCTCCGCAATGCGACATCTGCGACGCCAACGACGCCCGCCATCGCCATCCGATTGAGTTCGCCATCGATGGAACGAGAAGGTTAGTTCAGTCGGCTGATTTTGTATTTGTATGTATATGTATTCCATATGTATTCTGACTGCTGAGCTGAGTAGCTGATTTCTTACAGATGGTGGCAGTCGCCTTCCTTAGCGAATGGACTCGAGTATGAGAAAGTGAATGTCACTATCGACTTGCGACAGGTATCCCACTTCACGAGCTTATTTCGGAATATAGTTCAGTAATATAGTATTTCGGAATGATCCAGTGATTGCTCGATATTTATCGGCGCTGGACCAGATATATATTGCTTACCTTCGCCTAGTTTTTACCATTATTTTTATTAATATTGTTATTCATTCCGATTTATTATTGTTTCGACTATTTACTTAGTTATTTTGGAAAGTGAATTAATTAAAACCCTCTAATGGAGCCGGAAATTGAAGTGTCGCAAAAATTCGGAGCGCATGACACAGCGACGTGTCCTTTTCTAAGAGTACCACACCCTTCCGCTATGCCACCCACAGGCCCCATTTGATTTTTGGANGACCTTGACTGAAATGGCCTTCCAACATGAGGGTGAAGTTAAGACGTGAGTTGGCGGAAGATCAGTATGCCTACGATTCAACTTTCAGGGGAGAGAGGTCGAAAACTTTTTGGGAAATTGCTTAGAGTCGGTATACTGGGAGGATGGGCACAATGGACCGTAGTTTGAACCAACACACGATGAAAATAGCTTTCTTGTGGCAGAAAAACTGACATTTCTCATCATCTCAGTAGATCAATATCCACAGTAATACATGAATGACAATTATATTTCCCTCTCTCCAATCCTCCTCTTCTCCTTATCAGAAATGCATATTGACATCAAGAGCCATCCACATCAAGGGCCTGTACTGTTTGACCATGGTTGCGCCATACAAAGCTCTCATGCACCATGTTTGCTGTCGTTGTTAGTGACTTCATGAGGTGGTCTCACAATTTGAACGAGGGCAGAAGGTCTCACGTTCTGAAGGCTAAGCACGAAGGGTGTGGAGCGGCGTATTGGACGAGATTGATTTCTTAGGTGGGAAAACTGATTTATTAGGCAGAAGCAAAAGTGATCAGATCTCCCAACGCCATTAAGTAGCTTTTCTCATAAAGGGCTATGTTTCATCTACTACTGTAACTTAAAACATCACATTTTCAATTCATATTGAATTCTTCTAATATTGAGCCATATGATCATGCTCTGTGAGTCGCTCTCGTTGTTACCCCTCATTTGTGGGTGTTTGTACGAAGGACAACTAATTGACCGACAACTAGTCAGATACACTCTTGTGAATTTCGTCTAAGAATAGTTTTAGTTGGGAAGCTCGTCAAGTTGCAGTCGTCAAGTTGTAGGTCGCTGATCTTGACTGATACAACTGCCCGCCTCCCAACTTGGAGCTTCCTTTTAATGACTGTGGAATATGATTATGAGCACACTTTCGTGATACGACATAACATTTAAGAGACTTTCATTTTTTCTTTTCCAAAATCGGGTCTTGTAAGGAAGTATTACGACTGGTGTGGGTGAACTCAGCAAATTTTCTCGATACCCATCTCCGTATACATCTCATCGCTAGAATACGAGCAAAGTCAAACTCGGGCAAAATGTGCCAACTCAACATGGAACATCTCGAGTAATAACAGGATAGACATCAGTCTCGCCGGTGGGACGCCCGTACAACAAAGGGTAATATGGAAGGAGAGGTGATCGACAACTGGGCGGTTTAAAATAAAGTGATAGCGAAGAATGGCAGAGGAAAAAGCCACGAAAAGAATCTCTAATGTTGTGTGGTGCACAAATGAGAGGAGAAAGCGGTAACATGGTGAGCAGTGAGGGCAGGATCCGTGTAGACTGGCAAGATCAAGTTGTATCTGTTTCAAAAAGGGACAAAATGGGGCGAATGAGCGAGGGCTGAGTTCAGTGGGCTGTCGATCTCCCGCGCCTCAATAAAATGCTTTGTACTCTTACTTTACCGTTCAATCAACTCATAAGTCAAAGCTCACGGACTATAAAATTGCAGCCCCGTCGTTTTGATACCATTAGCCTCACAGCTGTAATTTGAGCTTCTCTGCCCAATGGAATTCCTTTCTTCTCCCTATAAAATAACGACCATGGAGTGATTTGCTATCCAATCGCATGTTTTACTATGTAAATACGAAGTTCAGGAATACCAAGTGGCGTATGTGGTCGTGAAAATGGGAAACGCCCCACGTCCAGGCACATGGGTCTTGGAGAAGTCGCTAGATGGCATTCACTATGAGCCATGGCAGTACTTTGCCACTTCTGACGCCGAATGTATGCGACAGTTCGGAGTGCCAGCAACCACTGGAGTCCCTCGATTCGAGCGTGATGACGAGGTGAGCTTTCGCATGACAGTCTGTCTCCTTGTTCGTTCTGCTTTACGTAGGCTGTGTGTAGTGATGGGAAGTGAAATGCATGACTGAAACCCTGTCAATACGTCGTTGCTTTCGAACAACTGCCTGTANAAGATCACCCCTCTCGAAGGTGGTGAAATCCATACATCGCTTGTGAATGGTAGACCAGGTGTTGAAAAGCCGTCCGTAGAGCTGCAGGTAATTCCAGGAGCTGCAGACAACATCTATCTCACTGTGACTCTGTCACCATTGACCTGCAATGCTTCCAGAAGTTCACTCGTGCTCGATTTGTCCGATTGCGTTTGATATCACCCCGTACCCTGAACGCGGACCTGATGATCATCAATCGTCAAACACATCGAATCGACAGATCAGTAACGATGAGGTTATCAATCAGCAAATTGCCCCTTTCGTTCGGTCACAGATTGGTTGTCTCTGTATAACTGAATGATATTTGAAGGTATTACTACTCGATTTCCGATATATCCATTGGAGGGCAATGTATTTGTTACGGCCACGCAGAGAGCTGTCCAAGCGATCCAGTCACAGGGGTGAGTGTACAGAATCATCCGGCCACGGCCAGATCAAAGGCGACTACTTTCGTTTATTTCAGCAATTCAAATGCGAGTGCCGGCACAATACTTGTGGGGAATCCTGCAACAGATGCTGCCCCCTGTTCAATCAGCTCCAATGGAAACCAGGAACCAACGCTCATCCGAATGCTTGTCAACGTAAGTATTAGAGGGGATACTGATCATCCTTGATGGCTTGCCTGGCTTTGTCTAACTACATGTGGGTGTGGTACTTCTCCCCGAATTCTCACGGCAAGGTTTCGCGGCGGCTACCACGTCCTTCCACTAAAAATTCTAACCTTTCTCTTCATTAAGCGCGCGCAACTTCGCGCGAACGCGAGTTCGGGGAGAAGTACCCACACCATTTCATGGATGAAATCTTCCTTTACTCCTATCGAATCGCATTACATTTCATAATTTAATAGCACTTGAATACTCACCATTGATTATTACCGTTGTTCAGAGTGCCAATGCTTCAATCACGCTGACTCGTGTGTGTATGATGAGGAACTGGACCGCAATAAATGGTCGATTACTCCTGAAGGAGTGTACGAGGGCGGAGGTCGTTGTGTAGATTGCAAGGTAATTTTTAGTGGAAAGGTATTGTCAGTTTGCAGCTTATAGGGGCTGTTCGGGAGGGGGGGGGGGGGGGGGAACGGGCACCACGTAGTCACCTGGGAGTCACGTCATTTCTTGGTAGTAATACAGTGAGTGCGGTTCTGACAACGAGCACCTCCCCCTAATGAGAGAAACTACTGTATGGTACCACCTTTACCAGAAGGTGTTAGCAGATTCATCACTCAGGTTTCGCGTATGTACTAATGGAGATAAGGGCGGTGGTGATGTAGTGACAAGTGACGCACACTCCTGCAAGATTGATCACGGGTTCGAATCCCACGGATCACTATCCTCCTGGGCCTACCAAACTTTACATTCCTCTGGGGTCGATTGATTGGTACCAACTTAAGTGGGAGACACAAACTCACAAGTCATTGTATAGGCCATGTACCCATTCGATATGCCAATAAGATCCCGAATGGAAGTTGAAGGCGGGCGTATCCCCCAGATGGGATTGATTAAAGCCCAAAGACTTAATTCTTCATAACATAAAGTCATCTTCTTACTTTCAGCATAACACAGAAGGTTTCAATTGTGAACGCTGTAAAGATGGCTATTATCGGCCGAGTGGTCTATCACACTACAGGTAGAAATAGAAACTTCTCCTGTCCTGTAGTAAGTGCATTGCTCGAGCAAACTCTTGAAATACTCGTTTTCAGGGAAGACGCTTGTCGAACGTGTGACTGCGATCTCACTGGCTCTGTCAGTGACGTTTGTATAAGGGACGACCAGAGTGCTCTCTCAGGACAGGTTCGTCTCCAACTCGATGATTAGAGCAAGCATTTCATCCGTTCCATTCAGCATCCCGGTGATTGCGTGTGCAAGCCAGGCTTTGGTGGACGACGGTGTGAGCGTTGTGCTCGCGGCTATCGCAACTACCCCAAGTGTGAACCGTGCCCTTGCAATCAAGCCGGTTCCGTGAACTTTGACACATGCGAGGAGGAAAAGTGAGCTTTACATAGCTGTATGATGTAATGCTCTATTGAGACGATGTAGTCAATTTTTAGGTGCCAATGTAAAGCAAATGTAGAAGGTCTGTATTGTGACCGATGTAAGCCGAATACGATCCACTTGAGCGCTGATAATCCACAAGGATGTCAGGCGTGCTTCTGCTTTGGTATGACNGGACAGGTTCGTCCTTAACCTGATGATTAAAGCAAGCATTTCATCCGTTCCTTTCAGCATCCGGGTGATTGCGTGTGCAAGCCAGGCTTCGGTGGACGACGGTGTGAGCGTTGTGCTCGCGGCTATCGCAACTACCCCAAGTGTGAACCTTGCCCTTGCAATCAGGCCGGTTCTGTGAACTTTGACACATGCGAGGAGGAGAAGTAAGTCTATCATAGCTGTGTGATGTAATGCTCCATTGAGACGAAGTAGTCAAATTTTAGGTGCCAATGTAAAGCGAATGTAGAAGGTCTGTACTGTGACCGATGTAAGCCGAATACGATCCACTTGAGCGCTGATAATCCACAAGGATGTCAAGCCTGCTTCTGTTTCGGCATGACCGACAAGTGCAGGGAGATTCCGTGGGTGACTGCTTCGGTAAGTCGGAGACCACAGCATTTCACCTAATCTCACACTTAGGGAGCTATAATTGAACGAACTTCTTTGCGACCCTGTTTTTCCTTCGCAGTACTGGGAATTCTAATGACCGAATTTACTGGCATTCACAGAAGCGGAATGGGAGTGTAGAACTTGAGGATTAAGGGGGTACTACTCGTGCAGGTCCCACCAAAACATAATTTTTGTTTCCATGTTCACAATGTGGTACATACGGGATTTAGACTGACTATGAGTTAGCCATATAGGTATAGCAAATCAGGGTGACATCTATTGGTTGGTCTTTGATGGGCTGATCGTTTGAGCTGGTACAGTCACATTTTCTTCCGAAAACCTCTTAGCTCTTCCGCTTAAGATTTCGAATAACGTCGGCTGGAACCTAACTGATCTGAGCGGTGGACGAGATGTCCGACCAGAAGTGGAAAATCGTGAAGTGCTAATGTTCAATGCAAACCAGAATAAGGACCGTTCGTTGTTCTATTGGAAGGCACCAGATACCTTTACCGGAAACATGGTCAGTGCACTTTTAAACTCATTTTTTGAACCAGTTTACAATAGCGAGTTCAGAAAGGCGCTGAAGACAATCTTGGTTTATTTTTATCGATATATCGAATTATGTTTTCAGTTGAACAGCTATGGTGGGAATTTGCAATTTTATGTCTACTACGTGCCGTTGGAGCAAGGGAACAGCATTCCTGTTGCGGATCTGGTTATTGAGGTATTGAATGATCTGAAAAGTTTCTAGGAGGTAGTATGATAAATGGTAATTAATGTCACCAATAAGGAAATAATGCTGCTTTGCAAAGATTGTAGTTTCCGCTCAAATTTCATCGAAAATGGAGTAAGAGGCGCGAAAGAGATGGCGCAGGGGCTGGGGATATTCATAAAGACTTTTGCTTATCATAATCTATCCCCTGGGAGTTGGCCAGTTGGATCGGTCGGAACAAGTGACCCTGTTGAAATTCGTTTTTTTCTATGGTCTATTGCAGCTGTTTTCAACCAAAGTAATCAAAAATGTGTCTGATTGAATGCAGGTCGATCATCTCCTTAGTATTATGATCCACTAAGACTTCCTTATAACAGGGAAATGGAATCAAAGTGGAATACTACAGCAGAATGGATTTCTTCCCACGTGAGAACATGACGGTACAGATCCCGATCAGGTGGGTATTAGCTATGACAATATCACTTTTCATGTGAGATGACACCTTCAGAGAGGGTTCCGGATGGTACAACTCAGTGACAAGGACTCCGGCCGAAAAGGTTGATATGTTGAGGGCTTTAGCTGGAGTAGAACGCTTCATGGTTCGGGCGATGTATCAGCAGAATCAGCTGCAAAGCAGGTAAAATTTTCAGAAATTGTGAAGTATACCTAGCTCCAAGGATAGTCTTTACGTTCACAGGTAATTGTCTTCAAACATGCAGGCCCCATGCTGCAATCATTTTTCCTAATCACTGCTTATAACTTGTTTTGATATGATGATTTGTTAACTGTTTCATCTCGCCGCAGTACGCGATCTGAAAGACTTACAAGGTCGGCGAGTTATGGGCAAAACTTCGGGATGGGATCTTTAAGTAGGCCAGGGCAAGCGTGGTCTCGGTAGCGTAAGGGATAAAGAGAACGGTGTCCGGAAAGCACAAGAACCGGTTGAGTTCCTTCTGAGACCGAAGTTTTGCCCAACCTTATAAGACTCTATCCAACGCTCACAGCGGTTAGGAAGACGGCCACATTAGCCGATTTTCGTGATTTAGTTGAGCACCTGCTTGTGGAACGCTCCCATGGAGTGGTGATGGTAAAAAATTGTCCCCACGTCGTATATTTAGAGCTCTCGAGTAATCCTAAGATTTTTTTAGCGAAGGCCATACCATACTGCACAATTCTTGTGTACTGCATTGGCATTCGGTTATTGGGGTAGTAACATAATGGATTTTCAGCATATTCGGATTAACACTGGACACGGCTGTACCACCTCCTGAAGGCAGTCCCGTCGACAGAATCGAAGACGTTCTGCATCCTTCTATGACCGACACTCGAATGCGGGGTGTCGAAGTGTGTCAATGTCCAGAAAATTTCGCAGGAAACAGTTGCGAGGTTGGGTGAACTTTTCATAACCACTTTCAATTTGTAACTCTTTACTTGAGGCCTTACTGCCGCAGTGTCCTATTACTGGTTTGGCAGGATTGCGCAGTCTCCCAGCTCAGAAAGTTTGACGCCCACTGCTCATTCGAATGACTCCCTCCTACATGATGTCTAGTTTATAGAATGTGTCGGCTTCCACTTTGTCTCGTGGATATCACGCCCTTTAAAAAATCTGTACCAATGGAACCACTTGTGGTTATATCTCTAATAACGTCCCTGACATCAGCTGAGCCTCAAAGTGGCGCGATACTGTAATTTAAGTCGATCTGATGGTAATGTATCCAATTTCAGTCCTGCGTTCCGGGCTACCGCCGAGTGAATAACCAGTTGTATGGTGGTCATTGTGAGAAGTGCACTTGCCAGGATCATTCCGATACTTGCGATCCCTTCACGGGAGCATGTACAAACTGTCAGGTAATGGTTTCTGCAACTCGTCTATTAAACAGACGTCGTATTGAGGATTGAGGTATTGAATGGTCATTCAGCTGAGAGGCTATCTAACAGCTTTTCAGCTAAATGGCCACCTAATAAGGTCCTTAATACGACTGAAAAAAGCGCATGATGCCGATTTTGCCTTTTGTTCAGCTCATAGCCATTTTGACAAGGAGAACTACTGTATTTATCGAAGAGCATCATTTCATTTCAGCACAACACCACAGGCCCACGATGTGAGCTCTGCCTGCCCGGTCACTATGGAAATCCCTCTCTAGGTGTGGCAAGTTAAACTCATCTAAAACTTGGTCCTCAGTCGACCCTTTCTTTCCTCTTTTCTAAACACGAGTCTCCTAGGTGGAGAACTTGGTGCATGCCGTCCCTGCGCGTGCCCAACGGCGGAAAACAGTCGCTCTGCTGAGTGTGTTATGACTCAGGTAAGGTGATGTTGCTCAGTTCACCGGACTGATGTCTGCCTACTAACGGATACTTGCAGCTGGTCGTTTCGGGACCGGCAGCATCGCAGGAAGACGCGTACGTGTGCACGGCTTGTGAACGAGGTTACGAAGGAAATAAGTGTGAAGTGTAAGCAAAATCCCCGTTCTCAATCGGCCTTCAACCTGTCCTCCTGGTAAAAAGGAAGCTTGAGCGTTTTCAGATGCGCTGATGGTTTCTTTGGCAATCCAATGGAGGCTAACGGCACTTGCAAAGAATGTGAATGCAATGGAAACATCGATTTGATGGCTATCGGTAATTGTGACACGGTAACTGGAAGATGTCTAAAGTGTATCGGGGACACAACTGGCGAGCATTGTGAGGTGAGTATTTATGGGTGGGAGGAGGAAGTGAGGAAAGCAGAATTAGGACCATTCACGGTCATTCCCTTCCCACTTTAAAACCTTTCTTTCTCACCCCTCAAAAAGATCGTGGCACTTTTGAAATATGGCTGTAAAGGTGAAGTTTTCAGATTTGCAAGGAGAACCACTGGGGTTCGGCATTGGAGCATACCTGCAAACCCTGTGGATGCCATCACGTTGGTGCTTCTTCTCCTCAATGCGGCAACCTGGGCGAATGCACATGCAAACCGAACTACATCGGAAAGCAATGCGACAGATGCATCGTGAGTTCTTTAGAGCGTTCTCCCGATGTGTTACTGATCTAATGGGAGTTATCGCCAGGACGGTCACGGAGACATCGAAAACGGGTGTCCACCGTGCGAATGCGACGTGGTCGGAAGCATCGGGGACCAGTGTGATGCTGTTAGCGGTCAGTGCACCTGCAAACAAGGTGTTTTTGGCAAGGTATGGATTTACTGATTAGCTGGGTCTCTGGTTAACCACTGACTTATGGACACTTCCAGAGATGCAACCAATGCCGTCCTTCGTACTTCAACTTTACTGACGCTGGATGCCAATTTTGTCACTGCAACATATACGGTTCCATTCAGGATGGGAAGGTAACTCGGCCAAGCTATCGCGTGCATACGAAGAAATGACTTTATGTTGTCTGGGATCGAATATCTGACCCCTAAAGTGCCATTGTCGTATCGAGAAACGGTGAACATAGGGCACAGACAGGACCGAGAAGCCCTTTCTAGCCTTGGCTGGCCGTCCTCTATGCCAAACGCCTTCTGGAGGGTTGAGGGGGACAAATAGCAGACTGCGTTGTCAAGCATTGTCAAAGGATCTTTTGAAATGATTGACGGAAAATAGTTTTCACCAAATTGTCCAGAGCAAATTTTCGACGGTCAAAGGGTGACCCAAAAGATTCCGCATACTTACAGACTTTGAATTTAGTGTAACAACATCACTGGTAAATGCGAGTGTCGTGATAATGTCGATGGTACGATGTGCGAAAAATGTGCGGATGGATTTTTCAATATCACCAGCGGTGTTGGATGTCAGGTAGATCTTTCAATTTTTTTTACTGGAGGGTCTGAATGCCTTAGTTAGCACTTCCAAAATAGCGATTCGTGTTAATCGAAGGCGTTAGGAGTTTTTAGCCTAAGAAGCTGGAGTTCACCTCAAATTTGGGTTTTTGCTATTTTCGCCTTTTCAGCTGATTCAAGCCCATTTTACCAGCGTTTCTAAAACTACTGTGTAAAATTCCGTAGACCGACACTGTATAAGGGCTTGAGGAGGTTCGAAGAGCCTCTGCAGCCGTATCGCCAAATTTTTGAGTTGCTCATTGAGACCCTCGTTATAGCTTTTCCGCTCGTTTGCAAGCGTCTAAGAAAGAATTCCGCGGAGACACATCCTTCGTTTTCTGCTCTGGCTGGCTGTTTCAACTGACTTTTAAATTACTGACGATCGTGTCTTGCTGTTTTGAGTAAAACTGGCTGTGCTCCATTCAGCACATTCAATTTATCCTCCTTATCACGACAATTTTAGGCTTGTGAATGTGACCCGACTGGATCAGATGGCGAGGCCTGCGACCTTCATTCAGGCCAGTGCGTCTGCAAGCCCGGAGTGACTGGTCTGAAGTGCGACCGATGCCAACCGAACCACTATGGTCTCAGCCCAGAGGGATGCAAAGGTACGGCAGTGACTTCTGTTCAATTCGTCTCCACTAATTCTTTGCAAATGATTCCAAAAGTTTCAAAAGAACCTGAAGATTGATGAAAAGCCGAAGATATTTTGTTTTGACTTGATGTTTTGTTAACTGCTGTTATATCGTCGCAGTACGCCATGCGAAAGTCTCACAGGGATGGCGATTTATGGACAAAACTTCAGTCTCGGACGGGACTCGAACCCGTACNTGGGTACGGGTTCGAGTCCCGTCCGAGACTGAAGTTTTGTCCATAAATCGCCATCCTTGTGAGCCGAAGATATTTTTTTGGTGACACCATGCGTTTGACCATCACTTGAAATCTTGGGTGCATTCACCGTAACGGCCAGGAGTTCCTACGATCATAATTTTCCCAAATTTTGTCCGAAGTACTTCCGAGCAGTAGAATGAGTTTAGTTGAATTTGAGACAAAAATTTATCACCCTCAGAGAATTTTTTTTGTTTTTATTTGCTCGTCCGGAATTTCGGGATGGAGCCACATATAGTCGCTAGTGTATCAAGTCCATTACAGTTGAAGTTATCAGTATTGGAATGAGCAGGCAAAGTTTGTAAAGAGGAGCACCACTGCATGAGCCGGGGATCAAATGCCGAACCGATACCCGCCTGAACTCTTTATCTCTTCGGGGTAGGTAGTTGGTACCAGCTTGTCTGGGTGGACAGATCACCGATAATGCATCAGCTGGCCCTCGCGAATCACGATGTAGGCCCAGTATAGTAGGCTTGAACAAAAGCTAGACTCTCATTGCAACCAGCAAAACATGAAAGTACATCCTTCTTCAGAATGCAGAGCTTGTCCCGCTCCTGGCCAGGTGTGTGATCCCGTCACTGGCGAATGTGTTTGTCCACCAAATACAGTAGGAGAGATGTGCGAGAACTGTACCGAAAATGCTTGGGACTATCATCCACTGAAAGGCTGCAAGTTGTGCGAATGCTCCGACGTGGGCAGCAGCGACGGCAAGTGCGATACGCGGACAGGACAGGTGAGTGAGCAGTCCTGCGGCAAGGGTAGACAAGCACAGGGCTTGAGATTGAGCAACAAAGTTCCTTTTTAGTGCAAATGCCGTAACGAGTACGTGGGACTGCGGTGTGACCGCTGTACTCATGGCTTTTTTGGCTTTCCAAATTGTCAGCCATGCGACTGCCAACCAGATGGTACCGATCCCTTGCAGTGCAAAGATGGACTCTGCCTGTGCAACGAAGAAGGCGAATGCCCTTGCAAAGTAATACTTCATACAGTTTTGTAGTTATTCCGTCGATATTTCACTTGTCTCTAGAAAAACGTCATGGGTGCGAAATGCGATCAGTGCAAGGAGAGCACGTTCAGCTTGGAAGCATCGAATCCACTCGGGTGTACTGACTGCTTTTGCTTCAATCGGTAAACAAACGTAAAGTCCCACAGATGTACTGCAGCGGAGGTAACTCTCTATATTCTAGGAGTAGCTCCTGTGAGCAGAGCTCACTTTTGTGGCAGCAGACCTATGCCGAAGATCGTCGAGCGGTTTTCGAAGAACCCTGGGAGTACTACACGAAGAAGCACAACCTCAACCTGCTGAAGGTGAGCTGCACGTGAATGTTCAACGGATGCTAGCCTTTTCAGGGGAGAAATTCAAAGAAAAAACCCACTGATTTCAGGAATACCCAGCTCGATATAACAGCTATCCAACCGATGCCGTCCCACTGTACTGGCCGCTTCCGAAATCAATGCTTGGCGATAGAACATCTAGCTACAACGGATTTCTGAGATTCAAGGTTGACTATGATCCAGATTTTATTTTCCTAATCAATCTTTACACCTATTTTCCGTGGGCGTTTTCATTTCCCACTTCATTCCCCCGAAGCAGCAATTGGATTACTGCCCATGCCTCTCTTGTTGTTATCTGTCAGCAAACAGACAAACATAATCAAATAACATAGAAAATGATGCCTTTTGCTTGAAGATATGGAATGAGGACAACCGTCGTGGGATTGATGGAGTGCGACCCGATACCCAATACTTCCGATATTTCCCGCAGGTAGGCCCAGTTCTCTATCTATAATGAAAATTCGTTAAAAAGGCAGCGTGCATGCTGTTGTTTACGGAAAATCCCTACGGGAATCCCTTTTCAGGTTGTGCTTGTTGGAAATAATCGCATTGAGTTGGAACACATCCCACTACAGATTGAGGAGGACGGGAAGTACAAGGTAAGTAAGTAAAATTAGTTCGAAAACATCGACGAAGCAAGTTGGTTATGGAAATAAAAAGGGAGGAGAAGGCAGAACGGGAAAGTGTTTAGATACGGCTGCATGAATCTGAATGGCGATCGCGCCAGAGCCCAGAGTTGCCGGTCACTCGCAAGCTGATGATGATCGCTTTGCAAAATCTACAGGGTGTCTACATTCGTGGCACCTACAATTATCCAGCAAGAGGAGACGCTATTACCATGAGTGAAGTAAGCAAAGCTGCCACTTACTAGTAAGTGCCAATTTCAAAAGTTCCTCCCACTCGCAGGTCTCCCTGGACGTGGCTGTTCCCGCTTCTCCTGGTTTGTCTGGATCGACTGCGATCGGCGTCGAACAGTGTACGGACTGCCCACAAGGCTTCACCGGTTCATCATGCCAGAATCCTGCAGTGGGGTACTGTAGGAAGAGGCAACGGTAAGTACTTTATTTGTATGGGTCATCTACATTCAATTTCCGTTCTTCTCAGGAATAGGAAACCGGTTCAAACTCCACTTTTTCAGAGACTACCTCAACTCCCCTGACGACATGTCACTCATTGGTTGGTCAGAGCCATGTGCCTGCAATGGCCATTCAACCACTTGTCATCCAGAGACCTGCGTCTGCACAGTGAGTTTTCACCCAAGGGAGAAGCAGTTTTGCCATTTGGAGGTGAATTAGTATATGTTCAGGACTGCGAACACAACACCACCGGGGATCACTGCGATCTATGCAAAAGCGGCTACATTGGGGATGCCAGGGAGGGTGGAGCGAATGCGTGCACCAAGTGCGCTTGCCCCCTCGTGGAAAATTCATTCAGGTATGACTGCATTGTCCAACGAAAAAAAGGACGAACATTTTCGAAGTACTTTCAGTGACACTTGCGTCGCGGTGGATTACGGTAGAGGATATGTGTGCAACGCATGCAAAGCCGGCTATACTGGACAGTATTGTGAAAGGTAATTCTGGAAAAGTGGTCGTAATGAATCGAAGTGTTGCAGAACTATCGTCATGGATTCTTTCGCTTGTGTGCTCTTTTCCAATTTAGCCTGCCACGGCAAATCACTTCCATTTCCATTTGCTTCGATTTATGCTTAGCCCTGCTTGAGTTCATGCACGGCCCTAGGAATTTTTCCTTTGAACTTCCTAACTTCCTTCGGAGAAGGAAGGGATCAGTCTCCTTTTGGAGAGCCATACTTGGAGGTCGTGAGCCTCCTAGCATGACTTGGCAACCGTAAATTGCTCTGCACGTTGGAATAAGTGGTCATCCCGTACTGCATAACCATTTTTTCGGCGCTTTGATCATCAGTTCAAACTTTGCAATATCTGAAATAGTAAAGCCACTGACTCAATTAATTGCGCATTTCCTCTGTGAACCTCGCAGAGAACCTTCCCAAATCTTTCAACAACCCGTCTTCACTACTTTCTACGCTTTTGAAGGGGAAATGTGGTTTTAGAGAGGGAATGTGACAAATACTACACAAGTATTTCAAATTCGGCGAAACTTCGGGACAAAGCTTCTGCTTTTGTGGTGAAATTTGGTCAGCCCAGGACATTGAGATCCAGCTGCTAGCTGTTATATCAGAACAAGTGTGAAAACTTATCGCAATCATTTTTGGGAATGCTTATAATGAGAAGATCTCTCATTCCTACATAACCATTTTCAGCTGCGTCATCGGCTACTTTGGAGAACCGTCAACTCCAGGCGGATTCTGTCAATCGTGCGACTGTCACCCGGACGGCTCTCTGAACGGTGCCTGCAATCCGCTCACCGGTCAATGCGAATGTCGCGAGGGAGTGACGGGAAGGGATTGCAGTCGATGCCAACATCGTCACGCCTTCATCGGAGGAGTTTGCACCTGTACGTTAGTTTCTAAAAAAAACCTGGGATTACTTTACGCTCTTCTTCTGAGCATCTTCCAGGCCAGGCTATGAAGATAAGATCATCCGTTTTCTTTCAGCATGTGACCAAGGCTGCTATCTACCGCTTATGACTATGGTCGATGACTTGGAAATGACTTTGGCTAATCAAAATTTCTCCAACTTGCGTCCAATCCCATGGAAACGACTTTTCAGAATCGAGAACAATACTGAATGTAAGAAAATTTACAGTGTTTTCAAACAAGTCACAGTAAGCTTCAGCCTTATATTTCCGCCTGGACTTTTATTAAAAACAAGATCCGAAGAGATAGGAGATCTTTGAGAATCTCCGTAGCTTCGGATTCCCAAGTTCCCTTGTACGTCCATAATGGAACTTTTTGGTTGAGTGGCAGGATTACCGACTTCACCGATTGCTTCTCATCTTATGCAGACTAATCTATGTGAGGGTGCTGACACCCTACTTTCCAAAAAAAAAATTCCGTCGAATAGAAAGAATGCTGGTGCTTTAAGTAGCTGAAGTAGCAGAATTTACCAAATCGTTATTACGCTTCCTTACAACTCTTCACTTCCTCCTCGAAAAGTTCACTAGACCAGTGGGATCGCTCCTCCTTCTCGTGCAAGCTTGGCCTATCGCAAACGTCCCTTTGAAATTCGAACGCTCGGGTACAGTAGAATAGGAGATACACCACAAACACACACACCCTTAGCAATTATAAAGGTAGGATCCTGTGACTGCGCTTTTGCAACTCCCGGCTATCCCGGACAAGACTTTTTGAGCGACTCGGGATGTTCTACAGCAAACGCCCTACATCTTCAAGTAGTGTTTTCCTTTTCCATTTCCTGGCCAATCCTTTTTCATCACTCACGCTCCCTTTTACACTTATGAAAATGCAACCCGCACTCATGATTTCTCCAACTCTTTCGCCCAGAAAGGCAACAAGTTATTGTTGAGCAGCAAAAATCGGCTAGTGGTAGAGCTGGACCGACAGCAACATCGCGTAGCTATTATTCTGTTCAGATACTTTCAACTTGAACTGTTTTAGCGGAAATATTAGTTCTTGCCTATTTCGTATTCCAGTGATATTCGACTTCATGAAGGGGCTCGATGGAGGAGGTGAGAGTGAAGTCGACGCCATTGTTATGGAGAGCAAGCATGCCAAGGAGGCACTCGCTGTGGTTGATGGGGTGAGCGACGCTTCAAAAACTTTTTGATTTGATTTCCTACTTACTGTTGTCTCGCAATCGTGAACGGTGAACGATCTGCTCCATCCGACGTTGTCCACACTTCACTCTTTCAGAAAACAATTACATTAATGTAATCCAGTCATCAGACGAAGTTTCTGTGTCTCATTAGAAGTTGAGTGACAGAAAATTCGCTGTTCAAGGGGTTTTCTAGGGGGTGTGCATACTTGCGAGTCGCCTCACTTCCTGGATAGGTTGCCTGAGGCCGTACGAGATCACCATGACTGAAATGACGCGGGCAGGGTGTTCGGACGAGATTTCTGTTGCTACAGTTGCGTAAATGGTTGAGAACATTGGGCGAAAAATGCACAAAACTGGCTTCCACTGTCACCTGATGTCACGACTAGTTGTTTGACTTTTCCATTGGGTTCCCTTGGTGAATGATGCAGCCTCCACAAGGCCGTTGAAACTCGCCTTCAGATGTGCAGCCGGTACAATTTTTGAGCTCTTATATCTAACGAAGAGCGGAGGGAGGGGG